GGCCCGTGGTGAAACATTGGAAATTGAGGCTTAGTTTCAGGTACAAACGGACGGGTGAGAGAAGAAAAAGGGCCTGGGCCGCGCAACATCTGTCCCCGTGCCAAGCGCTATGTTCAGCTGGCGTTACGTGACTTGGTTGACGACTGCCCATGCCAAAAGAAAATTCTGCCTGTTCGCAATATTGATTTCATTTCTTCCCGACAGAGTTCAGAAGCTCCTTGTTCTGAGAAAGAGGACAAACACGCCTTAAGTTACACCACATATTAAACTCAATCTCGGAATCAAAGCTTCAACAAATTGGCCAGGGCCCAGGCCTGTTGTGAAGCCGAGCTAAGTCTGGTGTTGCAGATGAGAAAGACTGCTCAATGATCCAAGTTAGCTTAATCGAAACAAATGACTGACAATTTGCACCAGCGCTGCTCGAGTTTCATACAGAATCGCTTTGTCGCGAATTTTCGAATAGCATCGCGGCGAGCATGTCGCCGTCTTGCTCAGCATACGCTGTCTATGTTTAATTACAAGCTGAATCCTTCACCTCTGGCGTTATTATATTTTTACCAGTGCTAGTCCTGGCCCTTGTTCTGTGACCAGTCTTGACATTTAGTTACGACTCAGTCTTGTATGTGATACTTATAGGAGAACGAATACACTTCATTTGAGGATCAGGCCACTCAAGTTGCGACGGCTGCCTTTCGATGTTCCAGAGTATGGTCTAGGAATCTAGTTTGACGACCAAACCTTTCAATCTTTTGCTTCTCTATTTCCTCGGATGAGCATATAGCGACAATTCTACTTGAGGGGAAGTCCTCGAATCCCTTGACCAAAGGGCCTCTTGGGGTCGGTGGACTTCCTTGACGCCAATCCAAAGCCTCTCAATGAGGAAAGTACATAAAACCTAATTGCATGGCATTCTTTGCCTCGTCCGTTGCGCTTAAACAAATCTCTACGCCCCCATTCGCTGCTGCATGGGTTCGTTGAGGAAACCACCCGGATCGATTTCCTCCTCACAATTATACGTGCTATCAGATCTTCTCTCAACATTGCACTCAAGCACCTTGGGCATCTCTGAATCTCCGGATGGCTCCCTTTCTCGCCATAGAAATCTAGAAATCCAGCTACCATCTCTGAGAATGCCTTGGATGAAACCTGCGTGCTTTACTCCGATCCCAATGCCAGCAGCCTTTGCGCGTTCTCTGGATCATTTCTGCACCATGGGTTTAGGTTCTGGCAGACCGCAATTCATTGCAAACGAGATGGCAAAACCCGAAGGTTCTCGAAGAGATTATGGTGTTAATTGTCAACAACACAAGAAATGGCACATGGATGCTTTAGGTCGGGACGTCGCCATACCAATTGTCTCACAGTATCCTCATGTGGCCGCTGTGGCGACCAGAACATCTATGGCAGCATTTTCCCATTAACCTTAGGTGTTACGCGCGGTAAAGCATTGTTCAAGTTGAAGCGGGAATTGATGGCCTTTCTGAAGAAGTCTACACCGTCTTGGTCAAAAAGATCCTCCATTCGACTGTAGCTAAGTTTTGGAGGCCATCTCGATCTGATGTGTCCAACTCCTTGAACCTCAAAGTAGCGTTCGTAGTATGTATTCGCTTTTATGTCTCCAGAATTTCGGTGAAAATCAATAGAAGGACGAATAGCTATGTCGCTATTGAGGGCTGCCCGGCTATTAGGCTCTCGAGGTGGATATTCTTTCCGTAATCGTCCGTCACCGCATATCTGACTTCATTTGCCACAATGGATTCCAATGTCGCATCAGAATTGTTGTCACCAGCCTCCTCCACGAGGAAAACTTCGGGTCAGAGGTCAAGTTCATGGCATAGTTGAGTACAATAATCGGCGACAGCACAGGCTCACCCATTAAAGTCGCGCACATCAGAATGAAGGCAGGCGAACTCGCGATATGTTCCTGCAGTCGCAACGTTAGGACGGCTTGTAGTTCAGCAATTCTCAGAAACCATCTTAGACAACGATATTATTGCTCATGATAAGTCGGGCGTTGCGTGTTCTCGACCATACATCGCCATTTGAGTCAGGGCTATAGCAAAACTGGGCCATCTCGACGGACTCAGCGAACTCGACTTGATGACGGATGCCTTTGTCAGCGAAGCGGACTCTGTTGTCTGTTGGGCAGACACCCCCCTGTAGTCTTTCCTGCAGACACTCTCCTTCAATGGCAGCGGCAAAGTCATTTGTCTTTCTGAGAAGGATCCTGAAAAAGAAGTCAGGTTCGCTGGTCTGGACGGAACTAGGGGAATCAGTGGTGTTTCTGATATCCAAATTGGATAGAAGTAGGATTTGGACAAGGATTATTCATGACCACAAAGCTTTCTGTCGCTTGTCTTCGGCCAAAGTGGGTTCCGCAACTAATGGCTACCGGCACAGCTACTAGATCAACGACCAACACATCGCCAAGCCGATCTGTTTGAAACTTCAAGGACCTAGGCAAGTTGAGCTGCACCTATGTATCCCGTCCGTGAACGGTATGCCGGTGTCTTGAATATTTCGAGAAGTCTGAGCCTGCTCTGGCCCTCACTGACAAGAACAAGTAATCTCTTTAGTCTTCATGGCGTCACAGAATGGAGCGGGATCTTTTCCTAGATTTACATTTGTGATGGGAAGCTTCCTGCAATAGTGGCCGACATCTACAAGCGAGTTGGTAAAGGCAAAGGCGCGTATGTTGCTTTCTGTCACAAACCAGACATAAACATTGGACCTCTAGAAACGGCTTTTCACATGCGCTATCAGGTGAGTTGCGCATTTTCCACTCCTACAGACCGCTTCTTTTTCTCTGTTGTGGTTGGAATAGCATAAGCTATTTAAACCTACTTACTTGGTTGATGTGCAATCTGCTACGTGCTATTCGTGACTTTGTCTGCGCGAGTGGGGCGAATCCGACATTGTGTCGGTTGACATGGGCCATCCGTATTCGTACGAAGTACTTTCTCACCTGAAGTAATACCTACAGGCGGCAGACATCTCCCGAGTCAGGATAGCTTCAGTGGGCTTTCTCGTTAATGAGAATCAAAGCCGCAGGGAATTGAGGGCTTTCAGTTGGCCAAAGCCTCCTCCGAGCGAAGTACACTACGTTACCAAGTCACAAGGTATAGCAACTGCCTTACTTGAACATTGATGCGTCAGCAAAGTCGAGATCCCACGGAATTTTGCTGTATCAGTGCGCTCAGTGTCGGACTTTCAATGAGACCAGAGTTCCAGACTGCGGTAAATGTGTTGTTCTCACAGTGTCCCGCGACCAGCTACCGATCGAACGATGATCAGGCGTGCGGGTCATGCTCCGGCGACCATGAGCAAGCATACCGTCCCGACTTGGCAATTTTCTCGGCCGGGCCGGAACACCTCCGGAGATAATGCGTCGATTGAGTAGCGTTTGCCCGTAGGCCGTGCACAGCTCAGTCAATAGTGAGAAACAAGGTTGACGGAGGGGTAACGAGCGAAAAGTGAGGGGCCGTTCTCCTAGATGCAGCAAATTGCCCAGCTAATGCATATTCCATTGGAGTCGTTGGTTGATGCGAAGACTAAGCATCAAAGCTCATCGCCGAGTGGCTGTGAGATTTTGGGGCTGGAGTTTATGCTTCGGCCGGAGGTTTTTTTGTAAACCCGACAGCTGGGTGGATCGCTTCCGGCTGTCGCGACCTGGGGAGATCATACCATAAGTTCTGTTGGATCGCCTGGCCCAGAGCCTAGATTAGTCGGGACCGAAGCCCCAATTTGCTACCCGAGAGCGAGCGGTGGACGATGTTTGCGTTGCCGCCACCAAAGACCAATCATCAAAGACAAACAAGGCCTGTGGAATGGACGCGCAACCATATCTCCCGTAGTAACCCGCCTACCCGTAGAGCAATTCTCAAGAACGTTGCCTATGCAGCAATACTCCAAATTCCGCAGTGCAGTGTGCTCATGGTATGTTGTCGTGAGATGATCAGTGCAATGATGTATTGATGCACTAAGACCTGTCATGAGCTCAGTAGCGCCCGCGATTTAGTGTCCCGGTTGTTCAGTGACAACTGTCTGTGCGTTGACAGTGTTGATTTTGGCATAAATTCGGACTTCGTAAAATCCAAGATTGACGCTGGTCATGTTACGGATAATACTATTGCCCGAGAACGTCTCTCTACTCTGGGGGATGGGGGATAACCCGATTATTAATGAGTCTGGAACTTGGTCAGCACTTAAGGAACGGTCAAGAGAAAGGACGAACGTGGACGACCAACAGAACCAACAGGCCGGGGGAACGGCCAGATGCTAATGAAAAAAAAAGTCCGGTGCTCGGCGAACGTAAGCACCGATACGCCGTCTAGCGGCCGGATCCATATTAGATAACTCCAACTAAGGGGGCCACCCCTTGCGCCCTCTACCAACGCATCGGAAGACTTTGCGGCCACACCAACGCCCAAGCCAACCCACTTCCCAGTTCAATCGCGGGTGCTTCCATACCTGAAGAGGAGGCTAAGTTGTCAACGAGGTAGCTTCGGCCCTTCGCTACCTCGCATCTTGGACTTAGCTCCGAGATCATATATGGCAGCCTGGAAGAAACTCGAAGCCATCCATGTCGCTTTAGACTCAATAAGAGTCACGACGAGGAGGATGATGACGAATAATGGCATATAGAGCGCTCCGAGCCCCGGCGGGTTTGCCGTACCCCGTTGACCGTCCGTCTCGGCCGGCCTCCGCGCTCTTGAACCAATAGGTCTCTCCCTTTATCTCCTGGCGCCACATAGGGAGCCACATGGGCAAACATAGGATCTTCGTTTTTATGGCCCTCTTTAAGACTACAAATCTCCCCATTGTTAAATTCAGCCCTACCCCTTGGCACATTACCAGTTCTTTTCCTTTCACACGACGTCCTCAGGAGATCGACTACCCAACTACACTTGATTCGGCTCTCAGCATATCTAACCCAGCTGTGCGATATCGACCCTCAATTATAACTTGCCAGACGAATCAGAACGAAAAACTCGATAGCCATGTCACCCAACAACGTCCCACAAAGGACACCACTCTCACAATGGAGCGCTGCTCAACGGAAGGGTATCATCATACCTATGGTCATGTCATCGATACTGATCTTGGTTCTCGTCCTTGCCAACATGTCATATCTCTTTGGAGCAACATTTGAGCAAGGGAAGCGCACACATGCACTCAAGATTCTGGCCGTTGACCTGGATGGGGGCGCCATTGGTTCAGCAATTGTAGGCGCATCCAAGAGCCTCCAAGCTGCCAACTTCCCAACCATCGAGTTTGGTTCCGCCTCGAAATACTCAAATCCCGCAGCGGTCAAGAACGCGGTATGCAAAGGAGACTATTGGGGAGCCATCTATATCAACGTGGGCGCGTCTGCGAAGCTCGCCAGTGCCATCAACGGCACCTCGACCGCAGCCTACAATGCCGCCGACTCAGTCACATACACCTACAACCAGGCCCGATACCCTGCGATCGCCGATTCCACCATTAACAGCAACATTCAAAAGGTCGTCGGCGCATCGAGGGCCTTCTACTACCAGTCGCCCAACGGCACGGCTGCCCTCCGATCCCTGAATACTACCAACCCGGCAGCCATCGCCGCCTACCTGAACCCGATCTCGTCCACCCCCGACCTCATTGGCGCCCAGACGCAAGCGAGTCGCGTCTTCTTCAACACCGTCAACATCATCGTCCCCACCCTCGCCCAGTTCTTCTTCATCTTGGCCCTGAACGGCATCGGCATGAGCTCCGGCCTCCTCGCCAAGATGAGAGTCCGCGACGTCTGGCTCATCCGCTTCACAATTGGCAAGATCTACGGCTTCCTCACGGCCGTCACTGTCACAGGGTATCTCTGGGCTTTTAGGGAGAACTGGGCCGTCGGTGGCCCCGAGTTCGGCAAGACTCTCCTCGTCTTCTGGCTCTACATGGATGTGCAGTGGCAGGTCCTCGAGTCCCTCATCGGATCCTTTGTGCCCATGCAGCTCATCCCGTTCTTCTTCCTCACCTGGATGCTCACCAACGTCGCGAGTAGCGTGTTCCCCTTCGAGATCATGGCGGGCTTCTACAGGATCGGCTACGCCTTCCCGGCGCACGAGATCTACTCTCTCTTGGTGCAGGCGTGGACTGGTTGCGCTGATCAGACGCGCGTGGCCCTGCCTGTTCTCTTCTCCTGGTGGCTCGTGGGCCACGTCGGCTCTGTCTTCTCCATCCGCAAGCGTTGCGCTGACGCCGCGGCCATTGTTGCGGCCGGTGCTGCCGCTGCCGCTGCTGCAAAGGCGCCGGCCCAGCAAGACGACACCGTCTCTATCCCTCCTCGCTCTGCTAGCACGGAAGCGACTTTGCAGTCCGATGAAGAGCAAGTCAGAAACGAGAAATGAATGATGGAGCCGCAAGAGATTTCTTAGAAACGGATTCGACTTTGGCTGCTGACGTAATTGAAGATTTATGCGACGTCACAGCGGACGGCACGCTTGATACCCAGCATAACATGGAGTTATTGGATTCTGCATCGAGACCATTGTATAGTGTGTTATGTTTGCTTTGAATGTTCAGATGATATAGACTCAACTTAGACATAGCATCTTCTCTTACAAGGGATTAATCCAACTCGTCTTAGTCTCTTAGACGTGGCCTTCTTGACGCCGAATCGTTGTGAGTAATTGAATGCGGGAGATGCTTATCTCAGTCCCAAAGAGTCTACAATCGACTTGATCATCGGGGCATGTCTCTTGTTTCATAGAACAAATAGGGGCCTCATTCCCAAACTATCTAGCTGCGATAAATTCCTTCACTTCTTATGCTAAGAATAGATATTGACTAACTGATAACGGTATTTTATGGACAGATACCTCAGTGTTCTATCTGGATGAAAACGCCTCTTCCATAAGTAATATGTTTGTTGAGTAGATTTAGAAAGTCTTGGTGAAAGAGAGATAAGGATGGTCGCTGTGATAGCAAAAGAGGGGTTTATAAGTAAATGCATCACCTACTTTTTTGGCTATCATCGCCTCAGTGCGTGTCCGTTATTTCGAGTCGTTGGGCCTGGTCAATGTTACCACTTCGACACCTACATGGTCTCGTTCATCCAGATTTCGGTCTTCAAAGCAGTTCCGTAGTGAGGAAGATCGGCCGGCTCGGCACGGGCGCCTGTTCGTCCGTTCTTTGTTTGTTAGCAAAACAGCATACGGAGGCAAACCGGAAGCAGAGATGCATCAACACAGACCCGGCGACGTCAACGAAACATCCAACAATGAAGAAAATTCAAATTGTAGCCTAATTCAAAGACGTTCAGAGACGTAGTGCTGCCCTACAAGGCTAGCCATTGGCGATATCTTGCGGGGTAATGTTAAATATCGTGGTCGACGTCTGTGTGGATGCATTGTTCTGAACGCGTTCCGTGTTTCGCTGCGCCATAGCGTCTTCGTCTGTGTTCAAATCAGGGTTCCAACATGGCCAGACCCGTCGTGGCTTTTGCATGTTATTCAGAGCCATTCCTCTGAGTTGCTTCAATGTGAGGCTGTCTTCCGACTTTTGGATCTGGTCACTATTTCCTGCCTACTCACACAATCAAGGCCCAACATGGAGCTCAACGCTACAGCCACACATAATTCTCGACAGGTCAACCAAGAAAGTATGGACTATCAGCCACAAGAAGCCACGCAACCCGCTCCCGTGCAGGCCGCGAGATCATCAGCGGGTTCCAGCTTCTTCGAACCACTCTGGCGACGCAACGACGAGAAGAGTGGCAACCGAGGCTTCGAGGGGAACCAGAAATCCCACTTCAGCAGCCGCAGCAGCTCGGTGACAGACATTGACAGGAGGGTAAAGCATGGAGAGACTTTCCAGACGAGCTTTGAAGTGGATGCACCAGAGGGTATCCTGTATAGAAATGGACAGCTTATCCTCCAGCCGGCGCCGACTAAGGATCCGCGGGATCCCCTCAATCTACCTATGTCCCGCAAAGTCCTAGGATGCTTCTGTCTCTGCTGCTTCGGCGCGCTGGCCGCTGCCGCTGAGCTGATTCTCGGTGCCATGTTGCCCGTCTTTGCTCTCGAATACGCCGGCCTCGATCCGAAGATCCTCAAGCCCCTGACCGACAGCGGTGGTCTTCCGGCGGGCCTCGACCCCCTGAAGGTCCTATCGAATCTGCCGAGTGCGCCGCCAATCTTTCAAATCTACCTCTTGGCTTCACTACCGGTTCTGGTCATTGGTTTGGCCAACTTGGTTCTCGTTCCAATGGCCATCTCTGTCGGCCGCCGTCCAGTTGTTCTCAGCACTGGTGTTGTTGCCATCATTGGATGTCTCCGGGCAGGCAGCAGTCAGTCGCTGCAGTCACATCTTTTCGCTCGTTGCGTCCAAGCTGTTGGCGCTGGCACGGTTGAGAGCTTGATTCCGTTCATTATCCAGGATATGGTCTTTGTGCACCAGCGCAATGCGTGGATTTCCAGCATCTTTGCCGCTCAGGGTCTCATCATCATTGTTCTTGGGATCGCGGCACCATACATGATTATCGACTTGAGCTGGCGGTGGATGTACTACATCACGGCCATTGGCGCGGCATTCTTCCTCGTTGGTGTTTACTTCTTCATGCCTGAGACCAGATGGCAACGAACACGGGCGGAGATGAGTAAGTCAGAAGCATTCAGATTCTTTGGGGGTATCGGCTGACCATGAACTTTTAGATGGCATTCCCCGCAACGAGATCGGCCATGACCGCGGTCCTAGGACGTTCCGTTACAACATTGCTCTCTTCCATGGCAAGATGGACTGGCGCAAGGGCTGGAATGCTTTTGTTGACACTCTTCGCACGTTTTTCTACCCTCAAATCTTCTTCATCACCATGCTTAACAGTGTGATGATTGCGTGCGCTTTTGCTGCTGGTTATACCGTGGCCCCAGCTCTCTTGACAGCGCCCTGGTCGTAAGTATTGAATTCTCAAACTTGGTGGAGAGACCCGATTAACGCCGATATAGATGGGACTTCATGAACCTTGGTCTCTGCCTCGTGCCGGTCCTCATCGCCGCTATCGCTGTTGCCTTGGTCACTGGAAGTGCTGCCGACTGGATGGCGAACCGCATCGCGAAGAAACGGGGAGTCCGCGTCCCTGAAAACCAACTCGTGAACCTCATCATCCCGACCCTCGCCGGTATTGTTGGCTCCATCATCTTTGGTCTGGCTGGCTCGAACCAGGCAGAGTATTCCTACTTCACGTTCCTCACAGGCCTTGGCCTCATGGCGTTCGGCTTTTTGGGCGCCAACACCATTGGCGCGGTCTACGTTCTTGAGTGCTACCCTCACCTCGCCGGCCCAGCACTGGTCAACATCGCCTCGTTCAGAGGTTTGCTGGCTTTTATTCTGTCATTCAAGATCTCCGACTGGGTGGTGGATATGGGCTACTTTGACGCGATGATGATTTACACCGGGCTGATCAGCGCCTTTGCTGTTTTCGTTCCCGTGGTGTATTTCTACGGGCCTGCTTGGCGCAGGAGATGGCCAGCCGAGCATTTCGGTGATCACATTTGACAAATGATATGTGCCAACTAAGATGGATTTTACGAACAGGTGATTTGTATGAGTACTAATGACTTGGGAAGGAGTTTTGCTTGGGAAGGAGTTTTGCGTTTGTTTGACTTGCTATTTATGTATAATATTGTACTACTGCTCGATGCTCGATGATTGATCGCCCTGGGCGTGGGGACCCAAAGAAAATTACAGAGACAAAACGTACGGGGAGAAGCTCCCTCTGTATAATCAGGTATTCGTGAAATAAAAAGGCATGCAAACCCGGTAATCCACCTCATCCCTTCTCCCTTCACTCACGCGTCGAACACGTCAGACGTGAAAAAGCCCCGAAGAGCCAAGTACCATAAGCTGCAGGAGAGGGCGACCGGTTGCCAGTTGGCAGCAGCGCCCGGGCCACATGCAGAACTCCCAACTTCTCACCTACATCACCTTGCTCCAAAAACTCATGATCACCACCCTCTCATCACAACAACTCATCATCGCCACCCTCTCTTCATAACAACTCAAAAAATAATGAGACAGAGCAAAAGAGAGACTCCTCGACGGGGAATTGAACCCCGGTCCCCTGCGTATCGTGGGATTTCCCCGGTGACAAGCAGATATCCTCACCACTAGACTATCGGGGATGGGTGGATGTTGACATCCAGTGATAGTTGGTTGGAAGCGGGACTGAGTTGAGGCAATAAGTAACGTAGGGCACGACCCTACGCTAAACTGAGCGCTCGGGCGGGACTTGGTCGGCGACGACTGCTGTCCTACTGCCTCATTCTGGCTGCAATTCGGGGCGACGGTGCCTCCTGTGCGTCTGCTAGCCATTTCTATGCCGGGCAACCTGTCTTGACGTCTCCTCTAAACGATCAATCATCCAGTGCGATCATGTGTGAGTATGGCGTGAGGTTACACAGAAGACTGGATGAACCCGTGAAAACGTTGTCTAGAGACTTGGCAGACAGAGGCCTAATTTGGCAATCGGCACTGTTCCCATTCGCTGAGCGCGCCGAACAGGGATTTCGTGGCGGCATTAATGCAAACCTACTCCGTACTTCTTACTACGGTTTCCTCCTCTACTTTCTGTAATCTTTTTATATGCCCTGATCCAACGCCAGGGCGAGATAATGCGCATCCTACACATAGATTATGGATTGTAAGCAGGAAGATCCAAGGCGCCGGGGCCTATGAATTTGGATAAATCATTCAATACAGAGACTTGGCGGACCTCATCACAGGCTGCAGTTGACGCTTTCATGGGATGGTTTACCCGCAAACACTTCAATCCTTCGATCTATTTTTGCACCCGACTACTATCTATGTACCTGAATTGAAAAAAGTGCGACGAGCACCCTCGCAGATGAGATACCGGCTAATCCCTGCTTGGCGACTTCCAGCTCTCACGCAGGGCGTCCCCAACTTCAGGAGTTGTAAGCTCAGCCGTGTTGTAAACCAACCTCTGGGACTGAACTGTCAGGCGATGTTTGATTGCCAACAACCATGAAGTCTCGCCTCCAGATATCCCAGTGATCGCTCTTCGTCGGGTCTCCAAACGGACTCAGCGCAGCAACTCGCATACTGTCGATGCCTCGTTAGATCTCTACATCGAGAAATGTAACCATCCGAGAGACTTACGTGTAGTTTCCAGGTTTGATCTTCGAGCCGTCAGAGAACCTACCAAGCCACCAAGCCCTCCAGGGTGCATAGTTGTAATCTTCCCTCGAGAGCTCTCCCATGGGACCCCGGATGAGGTCGAATTCGTTGTCATTATCGGGGTCAAAGACGGTAGCGTGCCTTTCGTTGTCCTGTGTACAAATAAGCGCTATTCAGGTGCGAATGTGCCGCATAGTGAAGGCGTGGTATTATC